TCGCGTCTATCTCGCGCTGACAAACGACTAACGACTTGTTCTCCTGAATTTTAGGTGGCGAGCATGCGATTGCTGGGCAAACGACCGGACCTGAAACTCAAGTCGGTCACGATAATACACAGCTCGACGACGGAAACGGTGCGTCTGCCGCCAGAGGGGACGGAGGGGGTGACGGTGCACCCTCCGGCTGTACGCGCAAAGCTTCCGCTCAGCAGAAAGGTCAGGGAGAAGAGAAGACACCGGAAGCATAAGGACTCGCACGGGAACGCGGACAAATCTGGCAAAGATCCGTCGAAGAAAAAGAAACAGTCGCAGCCGCAGACGAAGAGGATGTCGGTGACGAACGCGGCCGAAGATCTTCCTCGAAAGAGATCGGCCGACGCGACGGTTCAAGAGAGCAAGAGGAAGAAGTCTTTCCCGAGCCGGGACAAGCAGAATGCCAATGGCAGTTCGAGCAACGCGGACAACGAGAAAAGGAAGCGCAAGAAGCAGCACAAGAAGGAAGTGATCGATTATTCGGCCATACAGGCGGAGAAGGAAACCGAGCCAAACGCCGATCCTAAAAGCAAAGTTCGTTCCTGGTTGTTGGCGTCCTCGCAATGCCGACCGGAAACTGGTCGAAGCAACGCGGCCGGTTTACCGAAAAGCAAGTCTACACCTGTGGGTTTGACCGGTGCAGGTGGCAGGCTACCTGCAACCAGGCAGCAGGTGGCTCTGAGAAGACCCACGGAGTCCAAAGAGACGAAAATAGCAGCAAACTCCGGGGCAAGGAAGGAAAGGGCGAAGCTGCAAGTAGTCTACAAACCGCCGTTCAGGTTCAGCGTGAAACTCCGAAAGTCGGACAAAGTGGCGCAGGTCCCCGCTGTGGCGGCGAACGCGACGCACGCCACCAGCAGGCCAAAGCTTCCACGAACCGGTGTTCTGCTGAGGACAGCGAAAAAGAAGGACAGAGTCAGAATCGGCAGGGCCAGACAAATAGCGCCTACAGGAATCGGAAACAGTGCGGGTGATTTACCTGAACCGGCCAATTCTGATCTCCATACCGTTCCTTCCGATCTCGAAGTGCTGCTGTCCGAGAGCGAGTTCCTCTTCTCGGACACGTGACCACGATGAATCAGAGAGACCGTTTAGATCTCCGTTTATTTAGAAGAATCTTTTTAGAAGAAGAGATCGAAGTATCGAAGGAATCGATGCGTCGAAGAATATCCCGTCCGCCAAAGTCGCGAAGGATAGGTGCACAGGTGAAAACCTTCACATGCCATCCCGTGGTTCAGCCTTGGTTTCGCTAATGATAAATATTAAAACTATTATCCGTTCCAGTCGATCGTCGAGGGGGGCGTTCGACGGAATAAAAAAATCAAAAGGAAAAAATGAAAAAAGAAAGAAAAGAAGATATTTATCGTCAGTGAAATCGAACATCGAAGAACCAAATCGTTTTATCGTATTAGTCTAATGGCTGCTGGGCGTGTTTTCATAAACGTTGACGCAACCCCGAATGAGCTTCTTCCGTTCTCTACTGTGCTGGAATTTATTTTTTTATCGGTATGTATAACGAGGAGGAGCACACGCATACATACACGGCGTACGCTTTCGCTCTTTTTCACGTCTTCCTAGAGATAAGACGACGGTCTGTCGTGTACATTCAGAATAAAAAAAAAAAAAAAAAAAAGAGAGA